TGCAAGCATATCATACATCATACAATCAAATACTATAAATAATAGCAATGTTAATACTGTATGCTCATTGACACTCACCATGATCAAGCAATATCAACTCGCTCTATCGTGCAGTTGCAGGATAAAATACAGACACAAATTCAATATTTAAAATAATTTACAAATTCCATAGTTTATTATAACTTTGTTCATTATTTCATGTACATGTGCCAGACTGGATTGGTTTAATTTTATATAAACGCTAAACAAAAATCAATAAGTTTACTTAAACACTCCTTTAGGCACATGAATAATTTTATTGTTAAAAAAGTACTACTGTAACATTAATCTGAATCGGGCCGGCTTTATCCATCCTTTTTCTCCATTAGGTCTTCAGGAGAATCTAAAATGGCTTACATCTGACACTGATGATTGCAATCTGAGAAACAAAATACTGGACCATTTTCTGAACACAATCCCTGTGCTGACTGCTTACTCTATCTGCAGAAAAATATAATGATAAATATATTAAACTGTATATTTAGAAAAATAGGAGATCAAATTCAATACTACGTATACAGGCTAAAGCTATCTGGCTGCAGCTAGGCCTAATTAAAAGAACAGTGGGCTAGCACCGCACCGCCGACCCCAACAGGGATGCTCAATGAAATATTACAGGCCTCTACTAGCGAGGCCTAGGCCTCTCTTGACGTTGGCTGAAGTAGAGTTACGAATGGCGTGGTATTTATCATTTATGTAGACTTGAAAGTTACTTAACTACATAACAACTAACTTAAAAGTAATATTACTCGTGGATATCGTCTCGTACATTTTTTCTACACACAATTAAGTGATATGACGTACGTATCGGCGGTGTACCAACGTCCCCTAAACCTACGCTCCAGAAGATATTAAAATGATAATTTTTGTAACTTATGATTCGAAAATGAAGATGCACTTACGATATATGGTAAATAGATTATTTAGTATTAGTGTCTTCCCAAAATAAAACTGGATTATACAATGTAAGTTACGGAAATAGCGATATCAAATACTGTACTACAAAACTCAGTGCACTGCGAAACAAAAAAAATGGACGATCAAGGTTTGTTTAGCCCAGCGAAACCGGTAACCAGGAAACGTGGAGTCACACTTTTCTCCATTACTTTGACCCCGAGGAGATGCTTGTATCTGATTGGCTTTCACACAAAAGAGGTCACAGCTCGCTGGCGTCCCGCTCGCAAGCGGCTGTTCACATGGATCAAGAGCGAGCTGCATCGAGAGCCGCTCGCGAGCGGCTTGTCGTGGGTCACCCACGACAAAAACCGCTCTTGAGCGGTTGTTCACATGAAGGCCCGGCTCGCGAGCCGATCGTTCGCTTGCGAGCGACCCAAGACATGTGAACGCGGTACCTATGGAGTTTGTATATTCAGTTGCTTGGTTGTCCTTGAATATTCCACATTATACCCTGCCAGCTTCCTCTAATTAGCTATAGCCTTGACCAGTGTAAATTCAGAGTTGTAACTTGAAGATAGAACCAGACCATACTAATGTGTTCAGATGTAATCGCCCTCCCCACACCTACTGTATGCAACTGGCAACTTATTTTTTTAAGATCGTCAGAGAAGGGTGGGAAAAAAAAAATGTGAATACAATTTTGTTTTCAAATAGTTTTGCCAAAAACATTCAGAAGAAGAAAATAAAAATAATATTGGTGAATGTAAATTGTGTAGTAATGCGATGGTTAAATGCTTTAAGTTAATATGATTAGGAAGAAATGTACATACAGTATCTTATTTTTGAAGATTATTTGGCAGCTTTTGCCGTAATAAAAATAAAGAAAACTTGTTTTTTTCCTGTCCATTTTTCGTGGTGGCGGGTGTGGAAGGACAGACACTCGCTCTTCGTCGTTTGTTAACAAGTGGTAATTTATAATTTCATACAAGCACCAAAAATGTTCGAGAATCAGAATTTTGAATATTTTCATGTTTTTTGCATAATTTATAATAAGAAAAGATATATTGAAGACCATGGTCAATCACTAAATCTAACTGAAAGTATATTAAAATTATTTAAAAAATACAAATCTTAATAATAAACTAATGATTTTGGAGTCTTTGGAAGCTGTTTTCTCAAAACCTACATGACTGGTATCCAATCAATTAAATATTCATAACTTCGCTAATACTCAACCAATTTCCATCAAGTAAAATGCTGTTTTAAAGAATTCATGCAGAATGTAAAACTTACACTGAAAACTCGATTTTCAATTTTTTCTAAAAATGGCTGGTTTTGCCAGAGCCGGTCACGTTTATGGATTGTACTGTACTACATTCCATTTCAACTAGAGTGTTAGTGTGAACTGCTGCAACAATCCGCTAAATGTACATACACACACAGATGTACTGATCATATCACTATAGCAACCGATGACTGCTACAACAGTTTGAATATTAACATTACAAAACTAACATGAAAAGATAGCAATTGACTTATAAAGCAATTAGTGTAGTGCTCATATATGCACATTATCCATGAAAGAAAATCCTGACAATCTAACCATTGTATATTAATTTCCACTAGTGTATGAAATGCAACTATAATATGGTAATTGCTTAGTAATCAATGTTACTAGTTTTAATATGTTTTGTATTTGGTGAGAACCATTTATATAGAAACAAACTTATCTCATTTCTATCCTTTTTTTGCATTAAAAAAAAATTTGTATTTTGTATTGAGAGAGCAATGAACATAATAATAATAATAATAATTCTGGATTTATATAGCGCCTCACGTTGACACAACCTCGAGTTGACACAATCAAACAGAGTACTTGCCTTATGAAATGCTGAATGCATCGTGCAGTTATGAATTTTCAGTAAGCGAAATTGTTTTGTCTTTGAAAAATAATCATTGTAGATTATTATTTATTATTATTATTTCAGTAATGGTTGCAATACAGTAGGTATATGCCTAGGACTAAGTAACAGTAAGTCCTCCTGCTCCCCGGCCCTTACACAATAATTAGGATTGCTACTATTCTATTTCCATATAGTATAGTGAAAAACAGGGCCCCCGTGATCATTTTTCGGGGACCAAGGTTTCTCTGCTGATTTGACATCACTAGGGTATAAATAAAAAAAATGAGCAGGGGTGAACCTCCAGAAAAAGGGCAGAACATGTTTTTTGAAAAATGGCTGCCAAAATTATGATAATGGCTCATAACTTTACTTTAACTCGATGAAAAAGGGTAAATCTGGTGTCTAACTATATGTTATTAGGATCACTGAATTCAATGAGACATGTTTCAAAAACCTAGGATGGCAGCCATTTTGAAATTCATAAAAGTCATAAAATTTTCAAAAAATGAAATATTTCAATATAATTCCACATCTCCTCTATGAAAAATGGGAAATTTGGGTCTAATCATGTTTTTTAGGCTCTGAGTCCAATAGTTTCAAAAAGCTTTGATGGCAGCCATTTTGAAATTCAAGATGGCTGCCACAGAAACTGTCGAAAATCAAAATACTTTGGTATGTAATTCCAATTCGCCTCAATCAAAAATGGTAAATTTGGTGTCTAATAATTTATTATTGTGCCCTCACAGTTCAATAAACATGGCTTCAAAAGCTAAGCTGACAGATATTTTGAAATTCAACGTGGCCACCACAAAAACTGTTAAAATTCTAATATATTGGTATGTAATTCCACTTCTCCTTAATCAAACATGTTAAATTTGTTGTCTAATCATATGTTATTGTGCCTATGAGTTCAATAAACATGGTTTTAAAAAGCTAGGATGGCAGCCATTTAGAAATTCAAGATGGCAGCCACAAAAACCGTTGAAAATTGAAAATTTTGTTATGTAATTCCACTTCTCAATAAAAAAAAATTGCAAATTTGGTGTCTAATCATTATATTATTGTGCCCTCTGAGTTCAATAAACATGGTTTGAAAAAGGTAGCATGGCCGCCATTTTGAAATTCAAGATAGTCACCCTAAAAATCATTGAAAATCAAATATTTTGTTTGAATATTTCCACTTGACAAATAAGTATTGTATAAAAATGAAAAAGAGTTATTTATTCTTACTATGGCTGATCTGTATGTAAGGTTGACATCGCTTTTCAAAAGATTCTCTCTCTTTTTTTTAATGAAATCAAATCAATCAGATAAAATGTCCCATAAGCATATTAGTATAGTGAAAAACAGGGCCCCCGTGACCATTTTTCGGGGACCAAGGTTTCTCTGCTGATTTGACTTCACTAGAGTATAAATTTAAAAAAATGAGCGGGGGTGAGCCTCCAGAAAAAGGGCGGAACATGGTTTTTGATAATGGCTCATAACTCTGTCTCTTATACACATCTAGATGTGTATAAGAGACAGACATGTTTCAAAAACCTAGGATGGCAGCCATTTTGAAATTCATAAAAGTCATAAAATTTTCAAAAAATGAAATATTTCAGTATAATTCCACATCTCCTCTATGAAAAATGGTAAATTTGGGTCTAATCATGTTTTTTAGGCTCTGAGTCCAATAGTTTCAAAAAGCTTTGATGGCAGCCATTGAAACTGTCGAAAATCAAAATACTTTGGTATGTAATTCCAATTCGCCTCAATCAAAAATGGTAAATTTGGTGTCTAATAATTTATTATTGTGCCCTCACAGTTCAATAAACATGGCTTCAAATGCTAAGCTGACAGATATTTTGAAATTCAATGTGGCCACCACAAAAACTGTCAAAATTCTAATATATTGGTATGTAATTCCACTTCTCCTTAATCAAACATGTTAAATTTGTTGTCTAATCATATGTTATTGTACCTCTGTTGTGGTTTGCTTTTGAAATCATTGTATATAATAAACTTTAAGACAAACTTAGTAAGTTTTTCAATTAAATATTTCAGAGCAATATAATCTCCAGGATTTCAGCAGATTTTTTGCCCCTTCAGTCAAAGAAACTTATTGAAAAGTTTTTTCTTCCATATCCAAAAAACAGAGTGAGTGTCTATAACAGCCGGTCATAAGATAAAGTTAAATTACGATTGCTACCATTTTATGACTACAAAACCATACAATTATAACTCTGGTATCTCACTGTTATGTGTTACACCAACTCAATTTCCAAAGAGCACAATTCAAACTTATTTGACTTATCACTCTTTAGGATTTTGTTAAACTCTTTATACTTGATGGAAACTGGTCTTGTGTGTAGTGTGTATTAGGTATTTTTGTCTAGTATTCTCCATTCCCTTTTTTCATATTTGATCGACTCTTCTTTACCATACAGTTAAAACTGAAACGTAAACTTGTTGGCTCATGAAAGCAAAGAGGCAAAAAAATCTGCTGAAATTCTGTAGAGATTCTATTGCTCTTACAAGCTCAACCATAGAAAAACTTAGTTTTGTCTTAAAGTTTGTATACAAGGTTAATAAATCATTAAATGAGCCAACTACATAGCACATAATTAATTAAACTTTTTATTAAGAGCTCATTAATCACCGATAAACTGTGAGTGGAAACTGGTTAATGGAAAGTTTTGTACAGAGAAACACTGAGCCAAATCTACCAAAAGGCATTATACTTGCAGAACAAATTGATAACGACAGTAGAGTGATGAGAGTGATGGTAAGCATTCGTCTTCTGATGAGAATAATGAAGTATTAACGTATTGTGTTAATCATTTTGAATTATTCCAGTAAGTTCCATAGTTGAAATAAGCGAATAGTGATAGTTTTCATAGTTAAGTTTTGTCTCTTTGTTTATCTAACAGACATTTTTATTGTATGGTGTAAATAGTACTATTCACTTCTGAAAATTGTCACATTTTGCATTTTATAAGCCAAAATGTGTACATAATAATGGTTGATATATTGGAAATTAGTATGCCTGTCACCCAAGCTTTTTGAAATAATTATTTTGTTATTTAATGGACTCAGAGTGTCCAATAAATCAAGAAATGTTTTTATAAATCAAATATTTGATTTTCAATGATTTTTGTGGTGGCCATCTTGAATTAAAAATGGGCTGCCATCCTTAACTTTTGAAAACCATGTTTTATTAAACTTTCAGAGTGCACAATAACAATTAGTAGACACCAAATTTGTTGCA